GTTGTGCTGTGTACTATGTTTTGAGTACATTATTTGTTGGGCACTTATATGTTTTTTCTACTTATATATTTACACTGGGGATCAGTCCTGTCTTTGTCCTGTACGTTTAGCATGACTGACAATAAAGTTTACTTTGACTTTGAAAAGTGCACTTCCAACTTTGTGCTCTTTAGTGACTCCTGCTGGTCATTTACCAAAATGCAGTGTTTGTGCATTGACTTTCCGTTTCCTGTGTATCAGGAAGTTTGTCTCAGACACCTGAGGGTGTCAGTGAAGCTCATCCTGTGCCATCCTTCATTCACAGCCCAGGAGAAGGTCTTTTCTGTGAGTTTACACATTGTGACATGATGTCTCTTTGACAGGAACACATTCTGTTGAACACATCTATGTAAATTATCTCTGTTGGATATGCTGGGCATCTGGTTTTATAGATTTAGTTTGCATATAGTTTCCTACATGTGTTCTAGCATTGATCCATGTTGCCATGTAGGATACAGACTTTATTTTTCAGCACAAAGCATTAACTTGGTTGGTTTTGCAGTGAGAAGTTCAGCGATCACATAAGGAGCGTGTTAAGATATGTGAAATTGTCTTGTATTACTGTTGTGGTGAGAAAGTAGAGGCAGTGGTATTAGGTAATGTTTGGTTTGGATGCAGTGTTTCAACCTTCAAGAGCTTTGTCAAACAAATGTGAACTGGAATGGGACACTCAGTAGAGAGCACACCTCCTCCAAGGCCCAACAGCCCCCTTCAATTTCATCAAGCTGCACCAAACCTTCCACACTCGTAGACGTCAGTCACCTCGATGTGTCTCTTTTCATCATGATCAGTGTGTTGTTAAAAAGTCAAAAATCACCACGTCTGTAAATGTTTAAAATTGAATGGGCTCTTTATTGGCCCATGTCTCATTCGTCCATCAAGTTTAGTGGAGATTGTGTTCAGTGGTTCTCGTGTAATCCTGCTGAAGAGCAATACATTGAACAAAACTACAGTAAAATTAAACATTTCAAAATAAAAGTGAAAAACTGTGAAATATGTGCAAAGTACACAAAGATAGCTACTCTCAGGGATGGTGAGAAAAATGTGTGTGCACTTCATGTTCAACTTTATCTAATGCTTTGCTATTGAATCTACATGGATTATACCTGTAACAGTGATTTAAAGGTATTTATTAATTTCATATGTTTCAACTTTGAGATCATGTGATAGTTTTGTGCTGAATTGCATTATACTGAGACGTGTTTCTAATATTCCTCCTTATATAATACAGACAATATAATGTAGTGCAGAACAACACCAGCTTTAACTATGACCTCATTGCGTCTTCAAGTATCTTTCATCTTCTCTCTCTCCCTCTCTGTGTCTATCCAGAGGTCAGCGTTAGTCTGTAATCACTCCTCTTATTAAATTCTTCATGTCTACAAAGACTTCTTTCAGCCCACCTCTGATATACTGTGAACCCATTGTCCCACAGTTAATGGTGGAGTAGGGTGATGATGCCAGACCAGTGATATCAGTCTGTGAGCTGATGGTAAACCTGTTGCCTGTATGTGTGTCAGTGAGTGAATCATCTTTTTTTTTTTGTTTGATTAGACGTTTCGTTAAAAGGAAGCATTTCTTCCTACCTCATCCCTCCTTCACTCTGACTCAGCCTCTCCGTCACCACTCCTCTTTGATTATATTTTCTTTAATGGAAGGATCCTCCTCCCAGCCGTAGAAGAAGAGAGGTTTTAATGTCCTGTGTGCGGTTCAAAGAGCCGGGCTGCCAAACATATTCTCTTGATTTCCAGACTTCTCCCCATGACCTTGACTGCATGCCTTCCCCACTCTCTCACGTCTCTCTCCTGTGTCTGTGACTCAGCCTCTTGACTTAGAAAGAAGGAAATTTTAAGATCATACGTCAAATGCAGTTTCTTTCCACCGCTGTGGTTATGTCTTTGTCTGATAATCTGCAGGATCACACAAAAACTACTGGACAGTTTACCACATTTGGGAGGATGCAGTATGGGTCAGGGAAGAACCCATTCAATTTTGGTGTGGATCCGGATCAAGGGGGCGATCCAAGATTTTTTTTCACTTTCTTTAATATCGCAAGAATAAATCTAAATGTTGTTTCATAAGGGGACTGTCGGACTTTAGTAGAGGAATGCGCTTTCTGAGGTTTCTGTTTTTTGAAAATATGGGTTTACGTGCATGTCTGTGTGTGTGTGTGGTATGCCCTCATGCCTACTATTCTTGACCAATCTTTTACAAGAGGCCCCAGAGGTTCCTGGGTGGTCTAATTGCGTTTGCCACAGGAGATTGGTGCACTTTCACCGCTGTAAAGTGCACATGACTTTGTGTGTGTGTGTGTGTGT